AAATGTGATTCGGTATGATTTAATTAGAATAAATAAGGATAAATTGCAATAGTTGGCTTAATTACCACTTTGCCACCTAGTGGCCCACCTCATACAAAACATATTGAGCTTCATTACATTCATACCAAACATTTCATCAGCCTTTTTCCTTGAGAGCTAGCCGACCAAGAGTGAGAGAGAGTGAGAGAATTGAGTTCAACTTGATGGTTTGCTTGGAAATTGGAAGAATTGTTAGAGAATTTGCCAAATTGAGCTTCTAGTCTTGTGATTGAGGACCCAAAGTAGGATATTCAACCTCTCATTGATGTATTTAAGTTAGTTCTTGCATGGTTCATTCTAAATTGAAGAATTGAGCCTAGAATTGGTCCTAAAATGTTGAATTGTAGCATATATCATGCATGCATGTCTACATTGTTGCATTTTGAGGTTGATTACATGGAATTTGGTACATGCATGTTCATATTATTGTTATAGTCAATGTTTTCATCTTGTTTTTGGAAGTTGAGGCGCATTTGAGCAAGTAATTGAAGTTTTGAATTGGTTTAAACTCATGCATGTCATGTTTGAGTTATGTTCATGAAAATTGGTTTGAAATTGGATTCAATTGAACCACCTTTGGTGTTCTTGAAAGTTTGGTTTGAAATTGGATTTAATTGAACTACCTTTGGGTTTTGGTTTCTCAAATTGATTTTTGAAACATGTTATATTTATGGGTTTTGAAGTGTTTTAAAAAAAATTAGCCCAAAAGGATCGAATTTGGTACATTGAAACTTGGTTTTGAACTTGAGGTTCAAATATGGAATTTCCAGAATTTGGACTTCCGCTTGAGCGGGGTTACTGGCGCTCAAGCGGGAAAATTATGTTCCCAGTACTTTACACTGTTTTACAGTTCGCTCGAGCGGGATATTGGACGCTTGAGTGAAGACTTGTGTCACACACTCGAGTGGGAAAGTTTACGTTTGAGCGGGAAAGTTTACGTTCGAGCGGAGTCTTTTGTTTGCATGTCCGCTCGAGCGGGGAATCCCACGCTCGAGCGAGATCCCTATTTTCTGAAAACTCTGAAAATATTTTCTAAGTACATCTTTGCATTCTTATTCCATTCTAGGCATTCTTAAGCCTAGTTTAAGGCATCTTAATGAGGATATTGATGTAGAACCACACCGAGTCAAGATAGGGATTAAGTTATTATTTTCCCAACTATGTAGCTTAGTGTGTGTTCATTCTGCAACTGTGTAGGATTGGCTTTCGGAGACGCGCTCTAGCTTATTTGTAGTCCATAACTTTGTGAGTAACAATGTTGTAAAGATATGTTCGAAAATGAATATTTTCTAAATGATTAACTGAACTGTTTACTGTTAACTAAATGAATGTTTGTCCTCTATTCTGAACTGTATTGTGGCATCCTTAGCAACTACTATTACTGTTACTGCTACTGTTACAGAGATTTTTGCCAGTTCCTATTTTGGAACTTCTGTTTACTGTTATGATGGCCATCATTGACTGTTCGGTCTTTCAAGACCTACTGTTTACTGTACTGTTCTGCTAATAGATGTATCACATATGACTGTTATGACTGAATAACTGATACACTGAATCAATTGACTGTTTTCAATATTAAAGGGTCATTCATTCTTACCCTCTTTACGCATTATGTTATTCACTGGGCTTTAGCTCACTGTTCATATATATATGTTGGTGTACAGGCACCGGACCGTTGCTAGAAGCGTCAGGGTAAACTCCAGTTTTGTCAAGCCAACCACTGTGCCTCACTGCGAGGTTCCGAGCCTGTCAAGCTAGGACTTTTGGGGTGTTTTAGTTCCTCCTTTTTGTATCTGTTATATAACTACTGTTTAGACTGAATGATGTTGCACTGTACTGTTGATAGGGATCCTGAATAATTGTATATATTGTACATACTGTCTTGGTACTGATTGTATATGTGCACATGAATGATAAGTCTTTTTGCATACAAACTGTCACAGCTCATTGGACATTGTCTATTTACTGTTTTGGCTTCTGCCATGCCCCTGTACTCTGTATTATTTTTGACTGTTAAGCAGACCTTCGGTAATAACGAATTACTGGCCGGTTATGGTGCTAAACCCATAGGGGCGGGGTTGGGTCGTGACAATTGTACATACACCACTTAACCCTCCCCTTGCATCCATATTTGTAGACTCATTGTAGACCTATGTGAAAACCATTCAAAACCACAATATATAGTAAAGTGAAGTAAAGTGAAGTGAAGACAAAGTTCCCTATTGAAGACTCTATTGAACCTCCATTAAAAATCCTCAAAAATATTGTTAAAGATATGACATATCTTTATTTTGTTATTACATTTACCATTTCCAGATTTTTGTGCATTCCATTGCTATAAAACCCTCGTTTTTTTTAAAAACTTTTTTTTTAATGTTTTCGATTTGACGGTTTCGGCACTAATTTTTCAAAATTATATATTTAATTCGAAATTTAACTTCCGAATAAAAGTGATTAGTTTGACAAATTTGTTTCGAAAAAAAAAAAAAAACTTTCGGCAGTTGATGTCCGAATATAATGAAATAATTTGGTACTGGTTGTTCGATTGAAAACTGCAAAAGGAAATAAAAAAAAAAATCTGTACGAAAAAACTAACATTTTCATCACTAATAAAGTATAAATTTAGAGATTAAAGTAGCATGAGAGTTGTTATGAAAGTATTATTTTCAAGAAATAGAGAAGTATAGAATGTGTAGCAAATAAAGTAACAACAATAAAAAAAAAAATATTAAGGTTTAGTTTTTTTTACTTAAAAATTGGACATTGAGAATTTTTTTTTTCAAAGATATGTATGGAGAATATTTTCATATAATATTATAAGTGCTAGTAAATGTCCATTATAGTTATTTTAATTTAAGATATAATTGTTTTTAAAATAATATTTGGTTAAGTACGTGCACCAAGCTAATTAGGGTTCGTTTGGGATGTGAGTTGTTTTTCTGACTTTTTGTGTATTTTAGCCTAGGGCTAAAAGTCTCGTTTGGAATAGACTTTTTGATTTTTTTTGTGATTTGTGTTAAAAAAAATGAGATAATTATGATTTAAATATGGTATTTTATCTTATTAAATTAAAAAAATTTGTTTTATTTATTTTATGATTATTTTAATCAAAAAATAAAAAAAATAAAAATAAAATCCCATTTAGCTTAGGCCAAACGAGGGCTTATTAGAGTATGGAAATACCTCGAACTCGAACGCCACATTATTTAAATATGATATTTTATCTTATTAAATTAAAAAAATTTATTTTATTTATTTTATGATTATTTTAATAAATAAAAAAAAAATCCCATTTAGCTTAGGCCAAACGAGGGCTTAAGAAAATGAGTGAGAACATTAATTAGTGCTACCACTAATGATGTGGCAGTAGATCCCACTATGAATGATTTGATGTTTTGACCTTGGTGTTGTATTTTTTTTTCTTTTTTTATTGAGTGCCATGTCATTAGTTATCTTTTTAGAATTCCAAAATTAATAGTCTCTATCATTGTTGGGAGGGCTTATTAGAGTATGGAAATACCTCGAACTCGAACGTCACATTCTCTGGGCTGTTTTGAGAAGTTAGTAAAAAGTTACTTTTTAGCTTTTTACCAAGTTTTTTGACTTTTTTAGAAGTGATTTTGAAAGTTGATAAAAAGTTGATTTTTTTTAATTTTAATTTAATATTTTTTAAAAGTATCATGTCATTTCAAAATAACTAAAATATCTTTATTTTTTAATTTTCAGTTAATAAATTAAAATTTTTCAGAGGGTAGTTCAGTAAATTTGGGTGTTGCGTTTTTGGTCTTCCCAAATAGGAATTTCAGCGTCTTGACTGTTTGGCGTTTTGGTCTTGGCCAACAAAAAGCTGCATTTTGACTGTGTTGCCAAAACGGCACTCAGTTTAATTAATTCAATGTTTTGTGTGTTTAGTGTGATAAAATTGTGTTTTTTTAATCATTATCAGGCTTATTGTGCAACTGAAACTTGATCACTTGGGTTTAAATTAATTTTTAATGCGTAAAATTGTCGTCCTACTAATTCAATGTTTTGTGTGTTCAGTCAGTGTAATAAAGTTGTTTTTTTTTATAATGTTTTTTTAAAAATTATTTTAAACTATCATTCTTAGGCTTACCATGCAACCGAAACTACATCACTTGTATGTGAATTAGTTTTTAATTCATAGAATTGCTGTTCTTAAGATGTTTTGCTTTGATTTTTACAATCCGAGCCTGGATTGTGTGTCAAGGAGTGGGTTTTGATGTTTCCGGTACTTTTACAAAACAATTGGACTTAACTAGAAAACAAAGTACTTGGCTTTTAATGAGAATGGTGGCATGCGTCTTAGTTTTTCAGGTTGATATGCCCATTTAATTCATTGTTTTGTGTGTTTAGTGTAAATAAAGTTTTTGTTTAATGATTCTTAGGCTTACCCTGCAATAATAAATTTTTAATGCATAGAATTGCTTTTCTTAAGATGTTTTGCTTTGATTTTTACGATCTGAGGCTGTATTGTGTGTGAAGGAGCATTTTTGGTACTTTTATAAACAATTGATTTCAACTAGAAAGCAAAGTACTTAGCATGTAATGAGAATGGTATGTGCATTGGGGCTGATATGGCCAATCAATTCATTGTATGGAGTTTGTGTGTTAGTGTAATAAAGTTGTTTTTATTAATCATTCTTAGGCTTACCATGCAATGGAAACTAGACCGTTTGTATGTAAGTTAATTTTTAATGCATAGAATTGATATTCTGAAGATGTTTGGCTCTGATTTTTACAATGTGAGCAAAGATTATGTGTGCAGGAGTGGGTTTTGATGTTTTTGGTACTTTTACGCTGTGTTACATGGACTCGCCACTTTGGGGCGAAGTGCCCGTGTCGACACGACACGACACGACACGACACGGGTGCGAGTGTGGGATCTGTGTCGGATTTGTCTATTCTCTATCGGACACGGCTGAAGTGTCCGACCCTTAGATACGCACCCGCACCCGACACCCGTACCCGCGTCCGTGTAACTTAGCTTTTACGTAATAATCAGAACAACGTTCTTAGCTTTTAATAAGAATGGTTGTTTAGTTTATTAAATTATGAAAAGAGAATTTAAAGTCAACAGAAAATAACAAATTGAACTGATGGTTTGGTTTATTCAATTGGGTGTTGGCGAACGGATGAGTTATTAGTTAAATGTTTATATAGAATTCTTTTGTAGTTTCAACACATTTTGTGTTGTTATCTACTGTGTGTTGGAACTACAAAAGCCTGATCTGCTGGCATTGTGTATCTAGTGACATGATTAAAAGTTATACAATGGGAACGGGTCTAGTTATGATTACAGTTTTTGGGTATAATGATAGTTGTTCATCTTTTGCTTTTGATTGATTGTTGAACTCTTTGCGGTCATGGCAGGTCTAGCACCAAGGATCACAATTTGATGGTCGTTAGTATGATACCAAAATGAATGAGTTGTAAGGACTTTTTTTTTAATATTATTTTTCTTGCTCTTCAGCTATTTGTTGGTTGACTGTTGGTTGCATGTGTGAGGTTTAATTTGTTTATAATCATTGTATTTGTTTTCTAGACATCAACTTAAAAGTCTCATATGGGTTTCTATTGGCAATGCTAATCATCTCTCTTGTTTTATGATACAGACTTTCAGCTGATGGGCAAGATTTCTTTACATCATATGATGAGGTTTATGATAGTTTTGACTCTATGGGTTTGCAAGAGAACCTTCTGCGCGGCATTTATGCATGCGGTAGACATAATTATGTTTCCTTTATTTATTTATTTATTTTTTATAGGCTTCACATAGGATGTGGCTTTGCTTAAAAGTTTTGGTTTCCTTGTCCATTTGATGGCTCCCCAATTTTCAAGCTGCTTTTTTCAATTTCCAATTTTAATGTTCAATTGGACTAATAGCTGATTTATTGGTAGAGGTCGCTTCTTGCTTCTACTTGTTTTAATTGTACTTCGAATGGTTAGGGAATTATGAAATATTGTACGGTGATGCGTTAAAAAGTGTTGCATTTTCTGCTTTGCCTCATATGGCTGATGATATTTTGACAATTAGATGTTTCCTATGTAGGTTTTGAAAAACCCTCAGCAATTCAGCAAAGGGGAATTGTTCCCTTCATCAAAGGTTTGGATGTAATTCAACAGGCTCAGTCCGGAACCGGAAAGACAGCAACTTTTTGCTCCGGTATCCTTCAACAGCTTGACTATGGTTTAGTTGAATGCCAGGCCTTGGTTTTGGCACCTACTCGTGTGCTTGCTCAACAGATTGAGAAGGTTATGCGAGCACTTGGAGAATTTCTTGGCGTGAAGGTACATGCTTGTGTGGGTGGAACCAGTGTTCGTGAAGACAAGCACATTCTGTTGAGTGGGGTTCATGTTGTTGTTGGCACTGTTGGGCGTGTGTTTGATATGCTGAAGAGACGGTCACTTCGTCCTGATTACATTAAGATGTTTGTACTAGACGACGCAGATGAATTGCTTTCTTGTGGTTTCAAGGATCAGGTCCTTCTTTAACCCTATATTAGTGCCTTTTGCATTTCTTTTGTAGATTAAGTACTTGAACTTCAATTTTTTGTAGTGTGATGTTGTCCTATACAAATGTGTGTAGAAACAAGTGCTTATTATATACCTGCAGGAGGATTTGTTTGGTTCAATTAAAAGGTGAACTGGGCCAGGAAGATGGTTGAACAGATAGTGGGTTTAGTAAAGTAGGGAAGAGGGGTTGATGCAGGAACATAATGGGGCAAGTATATTTGGCAACTATATGGGTGACACGCGGCATTTTATCTATATTTCCAAATGTCTTATTAATTTCTAGTCAAAGTTTTATTTGCCATTGATATTAGATATAGCCTATTATTATATAGTATTGTTTGTGTATGTTGTTAATCATGTACTAGTCATGTAAAGGGTTAAATGTGCATTCAAAGTATTGGTCTAAAAGTAGTAGACAAATAAAAAAAAGGTGACTTAGTGCATTAGGCTCTCGTTAATGTGGGTCTGGGAGGTCAAGATATACGTAGTCTTATCCCATTTTCGGGAGGGCAATAAATATTGTCTACAATTATGTGATCGAAAAACCTATATAAGGAGTCCTGTATTTGCATTTAAAAATACGAGTATGTTTTTGAATATAATCAGCCTTTGGTTTATTGAAAAGAACATTTTCTTCTTACAACTCTTACCCTTTTGGTTGATTCCAATTGGTATCAAGTTCTTGGTCTGTATCTATTCGGTGTGTTGGTGATCTGGATTTACATAGAATTGTGTTTTCATTTCTGCTATGTTTATCATCCAACGTTTACGAGCATCATCGTTTCAGTGGGTGAAATTAGAACTATTCTGTTTGTTTGAGGTTTTTTTTCTTCAATAATTTCAAACTCCTAAATTCTTGCATTTTTGTCGTGGAAGATCTAGGAATTTAGGAAGATTGTTATTTTCTTCAATCTAATCAACATTTAAATTCCTAATTTATTTTTAATCAATGATTTATTTATTGATATACTAATGGTGAATTCATTTCTGCCAGATCTATGATATATTCCAGCTCCTCCCTTCAAAAGTTCAGGTTGGTTTATCCTCAGTTACAATGCCTCCCAAAGGCCTTGAGATCACAAGGAAGTTTATGAACAAACCAGTCAGGATTCTCGTGAAACGCGATGAGCTCACCCTAGAGGGTATAATTTAAATATGATATTTTATCTTATTAAATTAAAAAAATTTATTTTATTTATTTTATGACTATTTTAGTCAAAAAAAAAAAAAAAATAATAATGAGTTGTAAGCACTTTTTTTTTAATATTATTTTTCTTGCTCTTCAGCTATTTGTTGGTTGACTGTTGGTTGCATGCGTGAGGTTTAATTTGTTTATAATCATTGTATTTGTCTTCTAGACATCAACTTAAAAGTCTCATATGGGTTTCTATTGGCAATGCTAATCATCTCTCTTGGTTTATGATACAGACTTTCAGCTGATGGGCAAGATTTCTTTACATCATATGATGAGGTTTATGATAGTTTTGACTCTATGGGTTTGCAAGAGAACCTTCTGCGGGGCATTTATGCATGCGGTAGACATAATTATGTTTCCTTTATTTATTTATTTATTTTTTATAGGCTTCACATAGGATGTGGCTTTGCTTAAAAGTTTTGGTTGATGGCTCCCCAATTTTCATTGGGCCGATGGAAACAAAACAAGGGCCGGTGGCCTCAAGCCATGGCCGGTGAGGTGTGGGGATGGCCAACAAGCCTTTCCCTGCCCTCCAAAGCAAAAACACAAGTGTTTGGTGCAAAACCAAACACAAAACAGTCGAGTCGAGAGATCCTGAGGCAAGGCGCGTGGCCGAGACCTCCGGGAACTCAAGACGAACACAAACATGGATGATCACCGAGTGTTCAAACGGTGACGTCCAAGTCTTGAGGACGGTCAAAGATGGGGTGTCTACAGTTGGTGGCTTTGTTTCAAAATTGCCGACTGTATCAGGTAAGCCGAGATGATAACAGTCACGCCGATGCACTCGCCAACCTGGATAGTGGAATACAACCTGGAAAAGCAAAGACGATAATGGTCAACTACTTATCCGGCCTGAGCATCGAACCACTGACCACAGAGCGTGAAGCAATGTGTATGGACATGGGACCAAGTTGGATGGATGCAATAGTAGCATTCCTGAAAGAAGAAAAACTGCCAGATGATCACAAAGAGGCACACAAGATCAGATTGAAGTCGGCAAGATTCAGTCTGACAACGGAAGGACATCTTTACAGAAGATCCTTCATTGGACCCCTTTTGAGGTGTGTACATCCTTCACAAGTTGAAGATTTTTTGTATGAAATACATGAAGGAATTTGTGGAAGCCACGCTGGGGGCAGATCACTAGCTCATAGGGCCATCACCTAGGGGTATTGGTGGCCCTACATGCAGAAGGATGCAGAGGCCTATGCCAAGAAATACGAAAAGTGTCAAAGGTTTGTACCTCTGATACACCAACTAGCAGCAGACCTAAACCCAGTATCCAGTCCCTGGCCGTTTGTCCAATGGGGTATGGATCTCGTTAGGCAACTGCCCCAAGCAACTGGACAAAGGAAGCACCTGCTGGTAGCAACAGATTACTTCACCAAGTGGATAGAAGCTGAACCCCTTGACAAGATCCGAGATGTGGACGTGAAGAACTTCATATGGAGAAACATCATCACCAGATTTGGGATTCCAAAAGCAATAGTTGCCGACAATGGAACAAAATTTGACAGTAAGCTAATCAAGAGCTTCTATGCAAAATTCAGGATCAAAAATTATTTTTCAACCCCAAGCTTTCCTCAAGGCAATGGACATGCAGAAGCATCCAACAAAGTCATCTTGGATGGGATTAAGAAGAGGCTGCAAGCAGCAAAGGGAAAGTGGGTAGATGAACTACCAAGTGTACTCTGGGCATATCAAACTATGCCGAGAAGATCAACTGAGGAATCCCCATTTGCCATGGCCTACGGCACAGAGGCAGTCATTCCTCTGGAAGTCGGCATCCCAGGGATCAGAACTCAGGGAGAGAGAATGGGACTAATGATTTATTATTAGTCTGAGATCTGGATCTACTAGAAGAAAGAAGGGAGAGAGCTGCAATTCAACTGGCAGCTTACTAGTAGCAGCTTGCCAGAGCCTATAACAAGAAGGTCAACCCAAGGGAGTTTCGAATCAGTGACCTCGTCTTGAGAAAAGTCATTGGCAACAAGCAGGATCCCAGGAAGGGCAAGCTTGGCCCAAATTGGGAGGGACCCTATAGAATCATCTTGGTGTTGGGCAATGGGGCATATAGGCTTGAAGATAATGAAGGCAAAGAGTTATCAAGGCCTTGGAATACTTGCAATCTGAAATTTTTCTATCATTAGACTATCATGTTCTTTGTTATTTAATAAAATTCGAGCTTGATTTTTCGCACTTGTGACTGATAAGATAGTTGATGATATTTCTAGAATTCATGCATAATGAGAACCCAAGTGGAACTTAAGTTCACATTAGAGGGCAAAGAGTTAGAAAATGGTTCCTGGAAAGATAGGATACACAAACTAAAATTAGTTTAACACTTGTTGAAATTTGTAAAAAATTTACAAGTTAAAGTTAAACTGAGGTTATGTCTAACACTTGTTGAAATTTGTGAAAAATTTACAAGTTAAAGTTAGGTCGAGATCATATTTAATACTTGTTGAAATTTGTGAAAAATTTACAAGTTGAAGTTAAACTGAGGTTATGTCTTACACTTGTTGAAATTTATGAAAAATTTACAAGTTGAAGTTAGGCCGAGATCATGTTTAACACATGTTGAAATTTGTGAAAAATTTACAAGTTGAAGTTAAACTGAGGTTATGTCTAACATTTGTTGAAATTTGTGAAAAATTTACAAATTATGGCCAAGGTTGTATTAAACTGAGTACTTATGTACTTGCCGATGTAAACCGGTGGTGGATATAGCCGAGGTATATTACCCCGAGAAAAATTACACAGCTCAGGTGTACATTAAAGATATGAAAAATATTCTAAGTATGGAATCATACAAGAGCATTAAAGGAAAGACAAATATGCAAGCAAAACAAATAAGTTGTATTTATAAGAAGGCACATCGGCCATATGAAGAGCTTACATTGTTTCAAAAGAAAATCAAAGTGCAAAGTACAGAAGCCAAAGAAAAACTTCAAAACTAAGACTCTTCAGCGTCTTGAGGAGGTTGGGTCTGTAGTTTAGAAGACTACTGTGAAGACATCTCGGCGGCCTTCTCAGTCGCGAGCTCGGCATCTATCTCTTAAAGGGTTTGATCTAGGCTCTTGTCGGCAAGAGGGACGTCCGATGATGCCTTCTCAGGAGTAGCATCCTTGGGAACCTCCTCACCCTCCTCATCTTGAGTCAAGTCCAGGACTTGCTCAATTGGAGTAGGGGGCTTGGCCCCAGCAGCTTCCTTTGACCTCCTCACCAAAGCCTCCTCCTCAGACTCAGAATAGTCTTCAGATTGGCTTGGAGTTGGGGGGAATGGCAGAGGAAGGACGTCGGTGTTCCTGAGGGGGGAGTCATCGGGGATTTCAAGCTTTTTTAGCAAGGTCATCCAACCAAGGGTGAAACCCTTGTTGCATGCCTGCTTTACCTGTTTCTCATGATCCGCCGTGACATCGGCCACCCCCTCATTGTATCCCTTCTAATCGGCGGCCTTGAGCTCAGCATCCTTTGTGGCCAAGGCATCTTGCAGCTCTTTCTGAGCCTCGGCCGTCTTTTCCTCGGCCTCTTTTCTCTGGGCCTCAAGAACCTTCTTTATGGCATCCGTAGCCTCTGCCTTTTCCCCGGCCACGTCTTTGGCTTTGACAGCAGCCTCGGCCTGATCTGCCAGAGTCTTCATTTTTTATTGCAAGTTTTTGTTGGTCTTTTGCAGACCAGCGGCCTCCCTAGTCTTGTCGGCAAGCACCTTCCTTGTTTTAAAAGATTGCATTGAGAAGGAGTGGGCGTGCTGGATTGCCTGAAGAAAATAGACAAAACAAAAGTTGTTAGAAAAATTCTTCTAAGTATAAAGAAGAAAAGAAAGACACCAAGTGTGAAGACTTACTTAAACAGAGCGCTGGAGCATCAGAGCAAAGTTTTCATACTCGCTCATCTTGGCGTTTCGGTCGAGATCGCCAGGAAACAGCAGAGCGGTACTAAGAGCAACACCGATGTTAACATCATCGGCACTATCGCCAGCCATCACTGGCTTGTCTTCTAGTGTTATTTGGGAGGCCCAGGGGGAATCATGCTTTAGAGACCCCGAGGTGGCTATAGAGGATGACCTCGGCCTTTTTGACCTGGTAGACTCAGAAGGTTGGGCCTCAGCAGGCCTCTTCTCTGCGGCAGAATGGGACTTATTGCTCTCAGCCAATTTGGAGATTGGCAAGGTGTCCTCAGTGTCAACCTGAGTTACCGTTGCCTTTGGCTGAGCCTTCTTTATCCTTTTTTGCTTCAGCTTTGGCTGAGATGGCACAGGTTGGGTGTCTACGGTAGAGGGAATGTTGGCTAAAAGATCTTTAGCAACTGCTTTCTGGCGGCCCATCTAGGTAGCAAAAACAGTTCATCGCCGGCGTTGGCGCTGGGATATTGGGATCAGATATGGAGCCGAGGTTGACGGCTGTTTTGCTGCATCAGAAGTCGATCCTTGATCTGGCCAAGATGTGGAGGCAACTTGAGGAGTTGTGGCAGAAGGAGGAGACAAACTCTTCTTCTTCTTCCTCTTTGGGACCTCGGGAAGAGCCGACTTATAGGTAGGAATAAAATTGAATAGCAAAGGGGCCTTCCGTTTGTGGACAGGCCAGTAAAGTAGCCTTTTCAAATCCTTAGTGGGGAAGAAAGACTTGTGGAAGCTCTTTGGTGGCTGTGGAAGAACTGCAAAAAGTAGAGCAAAGACATTGGAACAAAGTATTGAGAACTTTAGGAAAAAATAGAGTAAGAAATGACACTTGGCCCCTACCATCTCTTTCCCCGAAAACTGTTCGGCTTAGGGGATAAAGGTGGAGGTCATTGTTGGGCTGAAACTCCTAGTTGCCTGAGACGATGAAGTAATCGTCTCCAGCACCCTTGTTTGAATCTGGGAGGTCGGCAATGAACTTGTACTCGGTGGATCTCGGCTTGAGGTAGTAGATATGGCCTTTTTCTGATTTCTGGCGACACATGGTATAACAATACTGAATATCGGCAAGGGTGACCCTAGCATTTTCATTTTTGGTTAAGGTAATTATGCCATTGATAACTCGGTAAGAGTTAATGG